TCTACACCTAGTTTGTTCAGAAGGTTGTTATCATCCATTCAGATGGGGGATCACTAACAGGAGGATGGGAGGACTCCCTAGATTCTGGTGGATATGGCAGTGTTTACAGGTAAGACCACTGCAATGGAGAGCATTTATAAGGACTATAATAAGTCAGCGAGTGTCAGTAATGTTAATATGGTTACCAGGAGTATTATTATCACGTGCTTCATCGTCTTTATGGTGCTGGCTTAAAGTTTGGGTGTATAGGTCACTCATACTGACTCAGGGTCAGTGTAAAATAAAATCCTACCTGTCTGAACAAAATCTGGCTCCTTTAATCAGACGACAGATCTGACAAACCTCAGGATGCAGCTTTAATGACCGTCTTAACTGCTGGCACACCTGTTACACCGGAGCATTAGTTAGAAACTTAGTAACGATTACATCATGCAAACACTGCCACACTCTGGGAAATACTGTACAAACATTTGCTGTCCTTAACTTTAAACAGTGCCTTTCTGTCTGCGCTGAACCTTTTCTGATCAGGTTGAGTCAGGCTGGATCAGCTGAATGTGTTATGTGTAAATATCAGTATTTTTTATTTAGGTGTGGGAAAAATACTCAAGTTTCATTTCAGAATTGTTAAAATGAAGGTGGTGAGGAGATGTATGACCAAAGGTATCATACTCAATGCAAAATACTGGACTTTGTGAGGTCTGTGTAAAGTAGACTAAAGATGAACTGCAGGTTCCTGAGAAGTGGACTGTGGGCACAGAGACACGTGGTCATACATATAGTTGTAGCCAGCTTGCAGTCATTTTTTTTTTCTCTTTTTTTTATGTATTTATTTATGCAAGTTTCAAAATTTTTACACATTCACAAACAGTGGGACAGAGGAACACAGACAATAAAGACAATAACAACAAAAAAAAATCAAAAACAAAACACAGGAACAAACAAACAAAAAAAACAGCAACAAACCCCACAACAGGGCACACGGCCAGCACTTATTAAGAACAGCAGAGAGAGAGAGAAAAAAAAGCAACTGGTATACATGTCAAACAACTCACAATCCAGTGAGTCCAATCCACAAGATCAAATCCAAAGATCGCTAGGAGGAGCCGATAACAAT